AAGGCTAAAATAGACAAGCTTGTTGCAGCAGCACCACAGCTGCTCACGCTGCTGCGGTGTATAGGCTGCTGGTTTGCTGCTGCAGCAGGAGACGTGCTGCTGCTGCCCGCGCTGCCGCTGCTGAACACCTGCCTGCTGCCGTCGCTGCTGCAGCTGCTGCGGGCGTGCTGCTTCGTGGAGGGTCTCTGCATGCGCCCCTACACTGCAGCACCACGTGCTGCTGCTGCTGCTGCGGCTGGCTCAGCAGCAGCAGCAACAGCAACAGCAGCAGCAGCAGCTGCTGCTGCTGCAGCAGCAGCAGCAACAAACGAAAAACCTAATAGACTTGCTGCTGCCAAAGAAGCAGCAGCAAATGTAGCAGAAGCAGCAGCAGAAGCCTTCATAAAGGGCGTCTCCCTTCTCGCGGTGAGGAATCTGCCCGCAGAGGGAGACAGCAGCAGCAGCAGCAGCAGCAGCAGCAGCAGCAGCAACTGCAGCACCACCAGCAGCACCACCAGCAGCAGCAGCGGCAGCAGCAGCAGCAGCAGGAGGTCCCGCTTTCCCTTCAGGCAGCAGCAAAAAGGTCCAGCACTGCAGCAGCAGCAGCACGACGCAGGCAAGTGGCTGCAGGCTTCGCCTTCTCTGCAGCAGCAGCAGCACCAGCAGCAGCAGCAGCAGCAGCAGCAGCAGCAGCAGCAGCAGCAGCGGGAGAAACGCCACACGTTATGTGTGTTGGAGCGCCTGCTGCTTTTTTCTCACATTTGTTCGGGGCTGCACCCCGACCTGGCGAGCAGCAGCAGCAGCAGCAGCAGCAGCAGCAAGTGTGCAGCAGCAGCAGCAGGAACAGCAGCAGCAGCAGCAGGAGGGAGAGGAGCAGCAGCACGTGCAGCAGCAGCGCATGCATCACGCGTGCTCGGGTGTATGGTCTCTGTCTTTGCTGCTGAGATGTGTGCTGTCTTGGCTTTAGTAGAAGCTGAGGCAGCAGCAGCAGCAGCAGCAGAAGCAGCAGCAGCAACAAAAGCAGCAGCAGCAACAAAACCAGCAGCAGCAGCAGCATGGCTGTCTCCTCCTGTCTTCTTCCGCATTTGCTGCGCCCTCTGCAGCGACGCTCTCAGGCCTCTCCCCCCAGCAGCAGCAGCAGCAACAGCAACAGCAGCAACAGCAGCAGCAGCAGCAGCAGCAGCAGCAAGAGATTGCGCGAATGGTGTCCCCGTTCATCATCATCTTCAGCAGCAACAGCAGCAGCAACAGCAACAGCAGCAGCAGCAGCAGCAGCAGCGTTCTCCCCGCATATCTGTACGTCAGCAGCAGCATCAGCTATTGGAGGAGCGTCTGCTGCAGCACGAGCAGCAGCTGGTTGCTCTTGCTGCTCTTGGCAGCAGCAACGAAGCAGCAGTATGTGCTGCGCTGCTGCGGGGCTCGCTGCTGCTGCAGCAGTGGCTCTGCTGCAGCGCCTGGCCTTCTAAAGAAAAATTTTGGTTTGCTGTTGAAGCAGCAGAAGATATGATGGAGGCTGTACGTACACTGCAGCAGACACTGCAGCGGAGACAGGCAGCAGGTGCAGCAGCAGCACCAGCAGCAGCAGCAGCAGCAGCAGCAGCAGCAGCAGCAGCAGGAGCAACAGCAGCAAGAGGAGCAGCAGCAGGAACGGGAACGAGAACGGGAGCAGGAGGAGTTTATACGGGCCCTCAGCAGCAACAACATCAGTTGCTGCTGCTGCTGCAGCAGCAGCAGCTGCTGCTGCAGCAGGAAGAAGTTGCTGCTCTCGAAGCAGCACTAGCGAGGAGCGCGGCGGCCTGGCTGCGGCAGATCAGCTGCCGCCTGGTTGAGGTCTCAGCCTTCCCTCTTGGCCTCAGCAGCAGCAGCAGCAGCAGCAGCAGCAGCAGCAGCAACAGCAGCAGCAGCAGCAGCAAGGAAGAGGCAGAAGCTTTCCTCAACCTTAGGTCAGAAATCAGGGAAACCTTGCGGTGAGTTGCTGCTGCTTCTGCTTCTGCTGCTGCTGCTTCTGCTTCTGCTTCTGCTGCTGCTGCTGCTGCTGCTCCTGCTGCTTGTCTTTTTGCTGCTGCTGTTGTGTGCCTTGCTGCTGCATCTGCTGCTGCTGTTTGGTTGTTCCTGCTGCTGCTGCTGTTTGTAAGTTTGCTGCTGCAACTCGGGCTACCACCCTCAGCCTGCATCATCGTCGTCTCTCTGTGCACCTGCTGCTGTTGCTGCTGCTGCTGCTGCTGCTGTTGCTGCTGCTGCTGCTGCTGCTGCAGCAACTTGTTTGCTCCTGAGCGTCAGATGGTGTATCGGCTGCACGACGGC